TAACTAACGCAAAATCCCAAAAGCAAAAACCTCTCAAAAAAAAAAAAAAAAAAACCTACAAAATTAAAGAACATTGTGATGATAAAGTCCTTTCCATCTTTTGTGTTTTTGTTTTCAAATAAACTGTATCCACATTTATTATAAGCTCCACAATACTTCTTTTGCTTTCAACAATTATACGTCTTTAAAGTAATTTAAAATTTTGGGCCCAGCAGGTGGCACCGTGGTTGGAGCACCTGACTCCCACATGACCAACTGTGGTTTGGGTGGCAGACCAAGCAGCTTGAGGTTCACATCAGGCTCATGTACATATATGCCCAAAATCCCAGGAGGAGAATGGAGGAGAGGGGATAGTGGCATGGCCTTCCCCCACACCTGGGGTGCTGATTTCTCACTTTCACTCTCATGTTCTCTCCTGTCTCTCTGGCAAGTGCATGTGCCCTATGGTCAAAATCTTTCTCAAATTTTTTTTTACAAATAAAACAATTTAAATTTTTGATCTTTTCCTACACATTTATCATTTTCTGTACTTTCATTCCTGGTCATGAGCAAAAGTTTCCATCCAGTATCTATTTCCTTAGCCTGAAAAACTGCTTTAGTATTTATTTTCTGTAGCTCTTCTGACAATAATTTTTGTCAGTTTTCTTTTATTTGAAAGTGTCTTTAGGGGCCAGCAGGTGGCGTGGTGGTTAAGGTAGTTGGATTTCCACATGGCCAACTGAGGTTTGAGTCCTGGACCTGGCAACTTCCTTTCTCGCTTTCCCTTTTTCTCTCCCTCTCTCTCTGTCTGTCTGGTCAAAAACAAAACAAAACAAAAAAAAAAAAAAAAAAAAAAAAACAAGGAATTAAACAAATAAATAATTATTTTTAAAAAGAAAATGTTTTTATTTTACTTTATTGTTTGTGATACCATTATGACCCCATTAATTGATTTCAATAATTATCAACTTCTAGCCAACCTGGTTTAGCTATACCTCCTTCTCCTTCTTTCACTTCCATATCATTTAAAAATAAATCTCAGCTATCATATCCTTTCATCAATAAGTATTTTAGTATATATTACCAAGCAATAAGGACATTTTTGGTTTTTTGAGAGAGATTTTTGCTATAGGGTTTGTGCACCCACCAGAGAGACAGAGAAAAGGAGACAGAAAATGAGAAATCACCCCCCCCCACACTCCAAGGGAGATGGCCACACTGCAGTCTCTTCTCCACTCTCCTCTTGCAATTTTGGGCATGTACACACAGGCCTTGCCGGGGTCCAGCCTCGGCCTGGGTGGGTTATTTTGACGGAGGCGGCGCTGGAAAGAAAGGAAGACTAAGGCCTCGATGTTTTTTATGCACATCTTTAGCCGGACACTCTTAGAGATTGCTTTCTGAGGAGTGACAACTGCTAGGAATTATTGTGCCTTTTTATTGAAAATGTGATACATGTAAGTAAATGGGTGAGGGGCAGTAAAAGATTTACTTTAAGGAACAGGGTATACAAAGTATGGAAGCAATAATTATAAAACATATTGTTTGTCTTGTTAGCTTAGGTAAAGTTAATCACAGTTTTTAGGATGAGGAAGTCTATTTGTCTGCTGTATTTTTTTTTTTTTAGATTTTGATTACTGGGAAGAGTCTTTTGAAGAGGGGGCTTGCAGGATGTTTGATAACTTTAGTCTTGGGCCAGGGCGATAAGTTGCTGGTTATAACGACTTAGATGGAAATTTTGTCTTGCTAAGTAAAGACACAGTTAATATATGGACTATCTATACATTACAACAATAGAGGGTGAGTCTATGATCTTATATGGGAAAGGA